TACCAGACCTTGCACCTCTAAGTGGGGAAGAGAGTCTACAGAAACTGCAGCAAGGTTTGGAACCTGCTTCTTGTGCTGTTGAATGTTTTTGGCAACTGATTTGGACCAACAAACAACAACAACAACAAAATCCCTCTGATCTTTTCCTTGTTGGGTTACTAAGCATGCTACAAAAGAGGGGTATAACTTCTTGTTTTATTTTTGGCACTTACATGGTGCTTCATTTATGATAGGGTTCTAACTTATACCCTCTCTATGCATGAAGTTCCAAAAGGTGATGTCCTGCTGGAATCCCCTACCAAGGGTTATCTCTTACTCCTCATGTAATGCATAGTCAGCGTCCTCACACAACCCATCCTTGATGCTATCACACTGTTTTGAGTGCACGGCCCTTCATTACCACTCTATGTATGCAGGGCCGGCCCACCCACTAGGCGAACTAGACTTTCGCCTAGGGCGGGCCCTGGGTGCGGGTGCCAAAAGCCCCCCCGCCCGCAACCAGTAAGTGCAACCTTGTTTTCAATGGTAGCCTAGTGCATATGACACATCACTATGGAATATCACCACTGTTGTCTATTCTCTCTCTCTCTCTCTCTCTCTCTCTCTCTCTCTCTCTCTTTCTTTCTTCAAGAGGTCAGCCTCTGAATATAATAGAAAGTGCAAAAGTACCAAACATTAATAATTATAACCTGACAAGTGAACAATATTTCATTTTGGAATTTTCTCTCTCTCTCATTCACTCACAGTGGAAACTATAAAGTACAGAAATAAACTAGCATCTGGCTTTTGTGGTACAAAAGCTGCTTCAGCTATAATTATATCAGTTTTTGCTTACCAGAAGAGTAAGTCTGTCTTTCTTTAGTAACAAGGGCAGACTTTTATAGTGCAAATCTGGACAATTATGGGCTTCGGACCTAAAATGAGGAATGATGTCAAATAGCATTGGAAGACTACCAGAAGTGTGTGTGTTTACTATTTTTAATTTTAACTTGTCAAAGGTAGTTGGAAAATAAGCCTGAGAGAAACAGGCTGTACCTGCCCAGGTATCCCCCCCCCAATAACAATATGATAAGGAGAGAGCTGGGATGGGTCAGCAGTTAGGACATTTGGACCTGAGAGACCCGTGGCCAGAACCTGAGCTCAGCCACAAGACTGACTTGTGTTCAGCAGCCCATTCTCAGCTGACAGCCTGTGGCGTTTGCCAGCATTCACAGTTGACCTGGCATATGGTTTCTGAATACAAATAAGTCCATATTGTAGGTGGCAAGCCCTCTTATTGTACCTATCCCTTGTATTGAAGCTTCCTTGCTCTTGCCTTCTCTGCTCATGAGTTATGTAATATAGATACTGTCAGGGGTCATTTCCTGCAGGAGCGCACAGGAGCGGAGCTCCGGCAGTAAAGAGCCCAGGGGGCGGGCACGTGCAACAAGCCCCACCCCCTGCTCCCAAAAGCCCTCATACAACAGATACCGTGCACAGATGAATTATAACCTATCATAAATAATTTTATATATTTATAAAAATATTATTACAATAATTTCTTTATACATATTAATCATCATAGTCACAATTCATAATATAAGAGATCAAAATGTCAAATATAATCTCCATAGATTCACAAAAGATATAGTACAACCTAATAAAATATACTAGTCCTCCTCTGTAGAAAACGTGCTTTTAAATTTGGAGGAGGCTTGTAGCTCATCAAAAAACTTTTTGCAGCGTTCATTGAAAGAGAATTTTGGATTAAAACTTTGGTATTTAGCAACCTTGTGCTGAAAATTATTGTTGGACTCCCTGAGGAAGATTCTGAAACAGAAGGACATCTGGACCTCTGTTGGAGGAAGACAGAGCACATGTAAAGAGAATTTAAGGAGTCCTCCCTTTTGAAACTTTTCTACAGAGGAGGACTAGTATATATTATTAGGTTGTACTATATCTTTTGCGAATCTATGGAGATGATATTTGACATTCTCATCTCTTATATTATGAATTGTGACTATGATGATTAATATGTATGAAGAAATTATTGTAATAATATTTTTCTAAATATATAAAATTATTTATGATAGGTTATAATTCATCTGTGCACGGTATCTGTTGTATGTTGGTTTTCCTACTTACCGTGGGTCCCAAAAGCCCTCAGTCAGAGCAAGAAGCAGCCAGGTAAGTTGCAGAGCTCCCCCTCCCCGGTCCAAAACATTCCAGTGGCACCTTTAAGACCAAGTTTTATTCAGGTACAAGCTCTCCCTCCTCTGCGAGGACAGAACTGCACGTCCCCCCCCCCCCAATAGCTAGCAATCCAAAACAGTCCAGTGGAGCCTGAGCGGTGGGTGTTGCCTTCTGACACAGTCCAGTGACGTCAGGGGGTGTGGCATATGCAAATAAGTTATGCTAATAAGTTATGCTAATGAGCTCCTGCACCTCTTTTTCTACGAAATAACCCCTGGATACTGTGATCCTAATCTGCATGTAAAGCTGACCTATTAATTCCATTCAGCCCAGAGTGACTGTGATGGGGGCCCCTGACTTTCCCACTTCTGCTACCTGATATTCGTCAACTGGAAATGTCAGTGATTCAATTTGCTCCCTCCCTTTCCCTTCTCAACATGTAAGTCTCATTGCATTCAATGGAGCTGACGTGGAATTAAGGACATGTAGACTGCAATCCTGTACAGCTTCACAAAAAATAGTAAAGGGAATCACAGAGTAATATAATAAAATCACACTTCTGTGGTACAAGGCACTATTGCACTCTGCGATAAACTTATATTCTCAAGTATTCGTCTTAACAAGTTGTCTGTATATTCTATTGTTATATCATTCATACAACCAAAATACCATATTCCAAAGTCCAGATACACAAAATCACAAAATGTAGATAACTGTGTGTATTAGCAGAATAGTCCAAATATTCAATCTATATGTCACAAAGATGATGTTGTTCCTTCCCAGTGTGATTTACGGAATTTCTTATTCACGTTTCGCAATTTTTGTCAGGTTTTTGTCAGGTTGCTAAACAGCGTCAAATCCAAGGCAACTGCCCTGGACAACTACTTCAGTGTAGACTGTCATAACAGTACAAGATCTCTATTTGGCGTTCCTAGAAGCACTTCTAATGTAACACTTAGGCAAGAGGCTGGGCTACTCAGAGTTGAAACAAAGGTGTGGTAGCAGGCTATAACACTCTGGCTAGAAATTCATTACAACCCGAAGGGTTTAATACCTTACATTGTAGCCTCGGACCCTTACCCTGCCTGGTCAGCACAAATTCTTAATAAATTAAATCAGATTGGCTTATTCCCAGAAGATCTCTTCTGTGGAAGCCTATACAAGGCAAGAACAGCTGTTACACAGAGGCTTCATGACATTGAATTACAAAATGAAGAAGCTTCACTTCCCAAGAACTTCAGAAATCTAAAATCTTGGCCTAATTTTACTGCTGCCCCTTATTTATTTAGCATTACCTATGGGCCCTGTAGATGGGCCTTTTCCAGAGTCCGTTTTGAGGCACTCCCACTGTACCGCAAGGTAAATTCACTCGGGTTCCAATGCATGAACTTATATGTCTATGCATGGCTAATATGGTGGAATCAGTTACTCATGTCCTACTGTTCTGCAGATTTTATCAGGAGGAACGAGATCATCTTATACTACCCCTTCTGTCTAGATTTAGCCCTCTGCAGTCTTATCTTGATTTTAGGCCAGAAGTCCTTTGTAAATTCCTCCTAGAAGACATTCAGAGTTCAGTGACTTACACTGTGGCAAAATTTTGTTGCTTAGCTATTAGGAAACGTAAACTTATTATAGCTGAAAAAATTGTATGATTCTCTTATTATTATTGTTTTATTTTACTAATTTTATTAATTTTCTCTTGTTAATGTTTTTATACTATTGCTATGTTATTACTGTTTTAATCTCTCTTATATCAGAATTGTACTGTTTTAGTGGCTCTTGCTGTAATAAATTAGATCAGGTAAGAGAATACAAGATCAGGAACACATATCAAAAATATATTCATAAATATATAAAAATAACATGCAGCGATGTAACACTTACCAAAAAGCCTCAATACAACTTTCTCTTAGAAGGCACCTTCACAACACTTTAACTGGTAACCATATCCAATGTCAGTAAGCCTCTCTACCCAACCCTATCTCATACTGTGATACTGTGATACAAATAGTCAATCGGGTATTGTTATGCTGTATTGTTAATGACAGTCCACATTGAATGACGTCGGGAAGGAGATGCATTTCTAATCCTCATGTGCCCTATGAAATTTTAATATAGGTGTAAGTTTTGCTCACAATTCTGTTCGTAAAGAGAAAACACCTTCAAATGGAGAGTATGAGAGAGAGTGTGGGGAAGGTGGCGGGCAGCCAGGCATCTGTTCTGTATGTAATGCCTGGCCATGCCAAAGTAAAAGGGTTCTGTGACTATAAAGACCTTATTGCCAGGTCTCGTTGGCTTTTACTGTAGTATAAAGTAAAGGTAAAGGTTCCCTTGCTCGAAAGCCCATCGAGTCCGACTCTAGGGTTGCGGTCCCCATCTCCGTTTCAAAGCCGAAGAGCCAGCGCTGTCCGAAGACATTTCCGTGGTCATGTGGCCGGCATGACTAGATGCCGAGGCGCACGGAACGCTGTTACCATCCCACCGAAGTGGTACCTATTTATCTACTTGCAATCTCTTGCTTTCGAACTGCTAGGTTGGCAGGAGCTTACTGTAGTATGACAACATGTAAAGGGTCTGGGGTTTATAGCAACATATTGTAATTCTGAATACTAGTAGCTGGAGAATGAACTTGGAACAGTTGCAAAAACTATTTCTCATCAAGTGGGCTATGCCTCATTACAAGGAGCTGGAGTGACCCCCTTCCAGACATGAAATTCCGGTTTGGCCGTTGTGGTTAAAGGGATTTGTGTAGCCAGAATTATTATTGTGGCCCTATTCTTTATGTTTGCTCTTACTAATGGTGTCTTGTTATTTCTGTCAAACAGCCATTCAGACAACTGTAAACCTGCTAAGATTAGGCGAACCTCCGCTTCACAAAGAGGCTCGCCAGAAACGGAAAGCATTGCGCCAGAAACTGCAGGCTGAACAGGAGGAACTAGAGAGGCAAATGAGAGAACTTCAAGTGGCAAATGAAAACAAACAGAAGGAACTGGAGACTGTCAGAAAGGTGGGTGCCGGAAAGGGCCCAGACCCCTTTCTCTGCTGTATCATGCCTGAAGGTACCACTAAACATTTGGTGTCAATTGTACTTCAAGGTATCACTTTTTCACAGCTCTTGCAAACTGCTGTCTCGTTCTGATGTAATTGCCAAATGTCTGGAATTCCCTCCTAAGGGAGATTTGTCTGTTCCCTTGTATAGTTGTCCTCTTCCAGTGAGTGAAGACTTTTTTGTTTTGTTTAGCGTTTCTCACTGACTTTTATTGCCCCTCTCTCCCTGTTTGTGCGTTTTATGTGTTTATATGTATGTTTTATTTAATTTTTTATATTTATTTAATATTTAATATTTATAACACACACATACATATATATATATGTATGCAAGTATTTTAAATGCCGGTTTTAATGTTTGACGTGTTCATCACCTTATTTATTGCTTTAAATCAATAAATAATTTAAGCCATTATTGTTTGAATTATGCCACAACAAGCCTGTGTGTAATCTGCTAATAATGTGAACTGTTTTGCTCCTCTGCAGTCATGCTTGATTCAGGGCAGGTAGATAATGGAGATTTATGTTGAAGTTTTCTGTTACTATATTGCCACAGAGCATTGGTGGTCTTGTAGAATTCTCCTTTCACAAAAGAAGTTCCTGGTAGATAGTGTTTTTCCCTCAAAGAAGGTACAGGGGGAATAATCACTGTCACTGAGGTAAATATGTATTTAAAAAAAATAAAAGCTGGAGCTGAGAACAAAATTGTTCTGCAGCTGTGATAAAGCCCAGACTGGGGAGATCTGTCAGGCAAAAGGTGTTGAGCAGCTGCTTCAGTCATCTGAATACTATTTATCTTGCAGTGTAAGGGAGGAAATCAGGATGTTTCTTTGAATTTGCCAGGCACACAATTCTGTTTGAGTGGAATTTGCACATCTGGGAGAAGATCTTGTATTTCATGGGCATATGACAGAGAGTAAGACACACAGACCCCCAGGTGGGATATTATGGTCATAGCTGCAAACATGCATGGAAAATAGAAATCAAGGTGGAAGTGTCATTTTGTGTTCTGCTTCAAGGAGCAAAGTGTCTTGAGCCATCACTGACTGGACCCCTCTGCACCCTCCGTGGTGTGGAGAGTAGTTCTTGCAGGGTCAGGATGCAGACTGTTGTCGCTGTAATCCAGGGTAAGGTTGCCTCAATAAACCTGATACAACAGCAACGGACAGCCCACGGCAGCCATCCCACTGGGTCCCCAGGAGATCCTTTATTTTATTTATTTACTGAAAACATTTTTGTGCCGCTTTTCCACCCAGTCAGGGTCACGAAGGCAGCGTGAGCAATCACCCTTTCACAATTTAATTTAAGCAGCTATGCATTAAGCATTTCTAGGGCTTAATTCAGACGAACAATTCAGTTGTTAATAGAATGTATTCACACATTTTTGTGCAAGACTAAGAGGGGCTGCTTCAGTTCATCTAGTACATGCACCTCCCACAGTAACTATAATAAGTCTTTTCAAACCCCCCTCCCCCGAACCATGCTAGTTTATTCAGCAGTCTGGGGAAATAATGGGAATGGGATGGTCAAGTTCTGCTCAACAGGTACAACCTCTTGTATTTCTAGTTTTAGCATTTTAGGGATAAATTATTAGAGTAGAATCAAGAAGGAAAGTACTGCTTACCAGTACCTACTCCATTTATGCTAAACCTTTTGCATTAAATTGTGGTGATGCCCCTGCTTTTTCATATTTTTGTGGACTTCACATTGTGCTCATGTTGTTGTTTGCCTTCTTTTAGCACATTATGTGACAAACTTGGTTATATTTTACTAATCATATGTCCTGATTTACAACTATCTATAAATAGTGTGCTTGGAGCTGCAGTGGCTCAAGTGGTTAAGACGCTGAACTGCAGGCTGTGGAAGGTCGGTAGTTCAGCAGTTCGAGACCCGAGTGTGCCGCATGACTGAGTGAGCTCCCGTCTGCTAGTTCCAGCTCCTGCCAACCTAGCAGTTCGAAAGCAAGAAATTGCAAGTAGATAAATAGGTACCACTTCGGTGGGAAGGTAACAGCGTTCCGTCTTCGGACAGCGCTGGCTCTTCGGCTTTGAAACGGAGATGAGCACCGCAACCCTAGAGTCAGACTCGACTGGCTTTCGAGCAAGGGAACCTTTACCTTTTTTATAAATAGTGTATGTTTGGGCACTGTAATCTGGTTGATACAGGTAAATCTGCAAGTAATGTCAGAGCCTAGTGGATACTAGACTACATGACCTTTTCCGTCTTTCCAAACTTTACAGTGTCCCAGTTCTAGAACCTAAGAATTATTCCAGTACATCTGGATTTTTTTAAAATCTGTGAATATAAATGAATTCATGGGAGATATTGACTCCACTCTTTCTTCTCTGCACAGCAACTTGAAGAAGCAGCGACTCGAGCTTCAGAAGAGGAGAAGAAGCGCCTGAAGACTCAAATGGAATTGCAGGATCGATTCAGTCTTGAGCTGGAGAGAGAAAAACTGGTAAATGCCTCTGAGAGACATACAGCAGGCCTCTTAGACGGCAGATTCAAAATGTGTACTCAATCGTATTAGTTTCCAGAGGCTGCCCTGGGGGGACCAGACCTAAATTGCCATTCCAGTGATAAGCAGCAGTGGGGCATGTAGGGCAGAAAAAGACGAGGCAGGAAGGGACAGTAGCCAGTTAACTCATGCAGAATGGAGAGACCAAAAAGGAGAGTAACAGGAGATGAACGAAGGTATACTGTTGGAAGGTAGGAGCGGAAAGCTTTGAAAATAAGGAACTGATGCTTGAAGAGAACAGGTAAGTGGTAGAAATATATGAGGAGAGAGGTGAGGAGGACCCATTAGCAGAAGAGAGGAGTTTAACAGAAGCAGCCCTGAATCTACTGAAGAGTGGTTAGTGTAGTTAAAGACATCAGCAGCCCTGAGCCTGCTGGGGAGGGCGGGGTAGAAATCTAACAAACAAACAAACAAATAAATAAGTACAGCTCACTAATGAAAGATTTTTTGGCTGCTTGATCCTCTGACTTTTACTTAAATTTCCATAGCAAAAGCTACTGCTTATTGCTGGCAGGAAACACCATCTTTAACATTTTTGTCTTCTTTCCCCTCACTATAACACCACACTGGAGCCAAAATGGCTTAAAATAGGTATGTGTTTTTTCAGTTAGCTAAAGTTTTGAGTGATCAGTCACTGGGATTGAGAATCCTGTAAGCAGCAGGCTTTAGCAATTTAGTGTGTGTTGACAAAAAAGCTGTGAGCCCATGTGTAAGGAAGACACCAACCTGTCTGTAATACAGGAACTCTGTAGAACTGAAGGACGGCAGGAGGGGGAGGATCAACCTTGCAAGTCTTCACAGGAACTGTCCGGTACTCAGCTTTGCAAGAGCTGCACAGCTGAGATCTCTTAACTGACAGCTGCACTGGAGACAGGGAGGGGCAGCGTCTTAACAGGTCCTTCAATAGATAAAATAGCAAAAGGTGTGGGGGGGAAGATAACGCGCGTCTGGTGGGCAGGATGTTTTCCTACCTTGTGGAGTTATTGTAAGTTCTAGTTGATTTTAATTACTTTTTGTATTTTGGCAACCCCCTGAAGGACGTTTTTTCCTCGAAGCATTGTTAATTGAGGTTGCCTTTGTTGTTTTCCGATAATAAAAGCTTTTTTGCCTGATTTGCCGAGCCTGAGCGTGGAGCATGAAGTATTTTGGCAGAGAACCTGAAGCCTGTGTCTTACACCATGGTTTCCATCAGATGTGTCATGAACAAACTGCTGCTTGTGCAGGCATAAATTTGCTTGTTGTGCTTATGTGCCAACTCCCTCCTGTCCTCATGCAGAGAGCGCAGTGGAAGATCCCCTGGTTTCTGAAGGCTTCAGTCCAAATGCAATTTGTCATGATGTCTGAATGCAGGTATCTGGACAAGATGGGCTTCACTTCTTCCCTACAAATCAGGAAACTAAGCCACACATACAAGCATAATAACAAGCCAGGCTCAGACATTCATCCATAGTCTGCATAGAGCATGTAGGACTTGATGCTTGATGGACTGAAGGAAGGACTTTTCTCTCTTTTCATGGAAAGATGAATGCTGTCATTGGTACTGAAGGATGATGAAGCATGCTTTCACTCCATGTTTTCTAGGTAAGACAGCAAATGGAGGAGCAAGTTGCCCAGAAATCATCTGAGCTGGAACAGTATTTACAGAGAGTCCGGGAACTTGAGGAAATGTATAATCAGCTACAAGAAGCTTTGGAGGAAGAGAAACAGGCGCGTCAAGATGAGGAAACTGTCAGGAGGCTTCAAGCCAGGTCAGTATGTAGCTCTGTAGTCGTAGGACTAAATCTTAAGAGTGAAAGGTCTTCCTTATCTAATGGAATGGAAAGTTTGAAAAGGTTTGAAATTGCAAGGCATCAGGCAACCTGAATATCATCCCTACACATCCTTGTATACTTGTAACAGAATGTTTCTCATTGTTTGTTTCTGGTATTCTACAGTATACATAACTGGGCAGCAAATCCTGTTAGGGCAGAGTTGTGTACTAATCATACAATAGGTTTTGTGAAACAGATGGGGCAAGCAAGTAACTAGCTACATGCAAAAGGAGAAAGCAAGAAAGCCCCCAAAGTAACTGCTGATCTGGTCTGTGAGGGCCAAAACTAGATGACATTCTGTGTGTTCTATGATCACAGCTCCCAGGTATTTTTTATAATGCAATTATCAGTTGCAAGGGGGCCTAATTCTGATTGAGATAGCAAAGTAGGGGGGGGTTGCCTCTCCCCCTGTTGTTTTCCTGACTTAAAATGACTCCAGGGAGCTACTATTTGCCCCTTTGGGAAAAATTTCCGAGTATGCATAGTTGCACCTGTAAGTTTCCCCAATGGGGCAAATAGTGGCCTCCCATCAGGAAAACTACGGCCCCGGTCACACAGGCCAGATATCGCGGGTGGGGAGGCATGGCTAATTGCCCCAGTGCAGTTTGATGCGCGATTACGCAATGAGACACGCTGGCGGCACACCATGGGTCCTTCCCTTGGCGCCGGCGGGTAAACGAGGGACTGGAGGGGAATGCTGTGTGTTGGCGCGATCACACCACAGGCGTCTGGAGGCAGCCCGTGGCAAACGTTTACTAGTACCTTGGAGGTTTTAAACTTAGTACCTTACGTTTTTTAAGGCGCATTGTTGGTGGTAAGCCACCGGTGCGCTCCACTTCCTAGATGTTGGGGTGTGATCGCCCCCGGATAATCTGCCCACCATCCGTGCCTCTCCCGCGGCAACTTTGCCATGTGACAGGGGCCTACATTGGGTTTGGCTTAAAACATACCATCCTGTGTACTGTGGTCCCAGAACCATGATCCTGTGTGACCGGTAACTGCATTAAAAAAACAGACTAGCAGCTCCAGTCATGGAACTCCCAGCATCTCACCTGGTTTGGCCCTGGTACAAGTCCAACACTGTGGTAGCCCTCTGTGCTTTGAGTTTGAAAGCGGAAAACCCTCCCAGTGAACTTACTCTAGAGAAGCCTTCCACGACTACTTTGCCTCCCTGAAGATGCAGTGTACATTTAATGAGACCTTTACATGGATAGCATACGTTGCAAGGTGTACAGCTCAAAAATGATAAACTCTTTCTAGGCTATTAGAGGAGGAATCAACCAAAAGGGCAGAACTGGAGAAATGGCACTTAGAACAGCAGCAGACTATTCAGATGACAGAAGCAGAGAAGCAGGAATTGGAAAATGAGAGAATGATCAAGGAACATGCTCTTCAAGTTGCTATGCAACAGTTAGAACAACTGGAACTGGAACGGAAACAAGCTCTTGAGCAATATGAGGTGAGCCAGTGTGAGACTACTGTATATCTGCTTGTCTCCAGCATCTACTGCATAGTATAGGTTTAAATTCAGTGTGTGCAAGAGTTGACAATGGGGCAGTCTGAGCTGTATGATGTCGCTGTTTTGTAGCCCTTGTGTCTGTTCCTAGTGACAGTTCTTGTTTTCACTGTGTCAAAGTTATCCTGCATGCAGACAGATACCAAAATTAAAGGGAAATTTGTGTTGAAATTCCTCTGCAAAGATAGATCAGTGGCTTTTTTGAATAATTCTGGCCCCGGTCACACGAGAGGTTTTGGGCCGGGAGAGGGACGGATCGGGGGCGCAGCAAACGGGCGCGATCCCACAGCAACATCTGGGAAGCATGGCACGCCCGTTCCCGATCCAGCCCTTCCACCCAAAACCCCGCATCAAAAATAAACCACCTACCTAGGTGGTTCTTCGGGAAAGGGCGCATCAAGGCCGGCCGTGGGATCGCCGGCGCGTCCTTCCACCGGCGCATCCCCGGCTCCTGGCCAAACTGCGCATGCTCAGACATGCGCAGTTCGGCAGCCTCCCCCTCCCGACTGTCGCTTCCTCCCCGGCATCTGATCGTGCCGGGGAGCAACGGTGCCACGGCTCAGGGGATCCGTGGGTTCCCGCAGCGGCGTCTCTATTTTGGTGCGGCTTTTAAAAGCCGCACTTTGCCCGGTTTTTTTCCTGCCGTGTGGCAGGGACCTCTGATGTACCCAGTTTTCATCACAGTTGACCAGCCTGTCGAGAAACTATTGCATGGATCTAGCAATGTGCACAGGATTAATCTTACCCAATCGTGTTTTCAAGCATTTGCAGAAGCATGCTAAGTGTTGACCTGGGCTGGATGCTACACATATGACTGTATTATCACAAGCTAATGGTTCTGGACATCAACACAGGCAGGCTATCGTCCTCACTATGGCTGCCATGCAAAGAGCTCCTGAAATCCTCTGATTTGCAAACTAGATTTCTTTTGTTTCTAGAATGAACAGAATTCTTTTTGTTATTGACTGCCGTCTTTTAATATCTTTGACTCTTGTTTTAGGGAGTGAAAAAGAAGCTAGAGTTGGCAGCAAACAATACCAGGAGCTGGAAAGATAAAGTAGCTCATCACGAGGGATTGATTCGATTAATTGAACCAGGTAAAAACCAACATCTGAACTTGTGAATCGGTGTAGTAGCTACTGACTATTTTTATCTACAGTAACGTTTTGAGGTTTCCAAGAAGTCTGAACTCTTACTGAGTCAGCCTGGTCTATGCTTCCTGTTAGTGAACTGGGAAATACTACAGTCTGGAAAACATGATTAAAATTAGCCCTGAATAGATAGGGGATTGTGCTGCAAACAGCATCAGTTGGGATTTTAGTTGCTACATGGCAGATTCCTCATAAACGGTTATCATGACATACTAATGTGAAAATTGTAAATAATCTGGAGAGCAAAGCTTATCACAGTGGCACACTATCTCCATTGTTTTGCATATTGAACAAATAAATAGCAGCGTTCCTATAAATGTTTGAGGGGAGATTGCACCATCTTATATTATGGGCACATGGGTATTGTACTCTGTTTCTATTTCCTTTTGTTTGAGTTGGACATGAATGGCCATTGGCAAAATTGGAGGTCCTTAAAGGTTCAGTTGTCTTCTAATTTCTTCTGGAGAAATAGGTAATAGCAACAACAATAGCACTGTTTTTCAGGTACCTATATGTCCTAAATCAAAATGATAGGCAGTTCCTCGATGGCAGCACAATCCCTTGGATTTCCTGTTGATCAGCTCTTTAAACCAAGCTGAAGGACTGCAGAATGCTATAAAGTCTTTTAAGATTGCTGTTCATAAATTAAAAGTGTCTTATGGGAAAAATTGATCTACAAAATCTTGGGATAGATGATGGAGGGGACTACTGGCCTTATCCAGAGCTGATCACGGTGTTTAATAATGCTGTTAATTTGGGGGGGAACTCTACCTCTTTTCTCCCCTGGGGTGATTGTTGGAATGAAAGATGTGGTGGCAGGGGATTATGGTGTTGGCCCCCGACCTGAGCAGTACATGGATCTTTGTGTGTGTGTGGGTGTGTGTGTGTGTGTAAAACCTGAGGGTTGTTGCACGTGATTGGCAGAAGTTTCAGGACTGGCTCCACAGTCTGTCCCCAATCTGAGCAATGAAGTGCAGGGAAGGAAGTTTAGTGATTCTTGGGTAATTGCTCCATTTCTTCTGGAACCACTGCCCATGGCTGAAGGACTTGGCGCTCTTTTTAGGTAAATATTGTGCCTGTTCAGAGAATATTTGGGCATTTCTTAAATAAAACATAGATCAGAGTAGAAGCTGCCCACCCGATCTTCAGGCATCTAATTATTATTGGGACAGAAGAACACTAAAATTATTGTAAGATTGGTCTGAAGGTTGTTGGCAGCAAACAGTACCAGGAGCTGGGAAGATGTATGGCATGTTAATGATGCATTGTGCTTAATAATAACCACCTTTTCTGTATTAGTAATTGCATAAATGTTACATAGTTCAGTGATGGGCAACATTCCCTCTAAGCTGTGGAGTCTTGTGAGCAAAAATGCTACTTTATGAGCTATTGGCATTAAAGTTGTGAGCGAGCGATTTGGCTACTGCATAAATCAGTTTGTTCTGGAGCCCTCCTTCCTGGGCGAAGACACAAATGTGTGAGCTGGAGGCTAAAAAACTGTGAGCTAACTCACACTCACTCAGCTTAGAGGGAACACTGGTGATGGGCTTTCTTTTGGAGAACAGCTAAAAGTCATTTTAATACTTTATGCTCGAATGTAGTAGTGCTTTACTACTGAGCTAACTTGTGCACTGTTCTTGGAATATTGACATGGACTTTGAAGCCCTAGATTCAAAGCCCACCTCCCATGAAGACATGGACTTTGAAGCCCTAGATTCAAAGCCCACCTCCCATGAAGATTCACTGGGTGATCTAGGAAAAGCCTTGTCTGTAAATCTGATAAACATCCAAATATCATGTATTGGCACTCCCTGCTTTTAATGGGATGCTCACTGCTTTTTATGGGATCCCATCCACAGTGTGCCTCAGCTACTCACAGTAACTGTGATTGTCTAGAGGTGGTTTGGGACAAATTTGTTTAAAGTCTGCTATCTTTTAGGTTCCAAGAATCCTAACTTTATCACAAACTGGGGCCCAGCAGCCTTCACTGATGCAGAACTTGAGCAGAGACAGAAGAGCTGGAAGGGGAAGAGGAGCTCTCCTGACCAGTGACGAAGGCTGAAATACTTTGTGAGAAAGACAAATAAAATCATCTAAACCAGTTTGTTTCTTAAAATGTAAATTATTTCAAGGGTTCAGTCAACAAGATGGGATCCAACTACAAAATATAAGTTGAATATAATGCATTCAGCCTAAATTATGGCCAACTGAGGGTGACGAGGGCAAGCTAGTAAAAGTCTACAGAAATTCTGGCATATATAATGAAAATCACAAAAAAGGCGTGTGTGTTCTGATTTCTGTTTTGCTTTGTAGAATTTGGAGTTGAGTGAGTTTAGGGAAGGAGGACTGGAACTCATGGGCTTCTATAGAAGATGAGTTACCCTAATTAATAAGCCACAAATTCAGCAGTATTGGGGGTGGGCAAGAGATAAAAGAACATGGAAATAAACAATAGCAATGTTGCTTTCCCTCAGCAAGAGAATTCATTGTCTCAGAGAGAATGGTGTGATAGAAATATCGTGGAATTCCTTGCTCATGTCGATGGGGGTATTCTGTGAGGAAAAGAGCCCCCAAATATCTATTTCTGAGCCTGGACTGTATGAGACACCTTGAAGGATATAAGGGAAACATGAGGAAGTGTTTGTTTTTTGACTGCCTTAAGCAGCACCCAGCCTCTGATGATTTCTGATCTTTTAGCAATAGCTGCATGCAGTATCGGGGAATACAGACTTTCTCTTTGGGAGAAAAAATATCTGAGATTTGCAAGTTCTATTTCTTGGAAGATTTAGGAATGCATAACCCAATTATGATGATCTGCACATCTGAACCTTAAAATCGAGTAACTGGTTTCCCGAATGCTTGTATGTATTTGAGGCAAAAGTCCTGCTGTACGGCTTGTAAAATGTACATTCAAATAACTGGAATGGCAGAAAACTGAAGTATTGACAATGGCAGCTATGTACATAAATAAGGCACCATTTGGATTTTCTGGTTCAGTCACCAAATGTCTTACCATGGAGCTGCCTTTGACTGAATCAAACCATTGACCTGTCAAGGTCCGTATCATCTGCTCAGACTAGCAGTGGCTTTCCAGCGTCTCCAGTCAAGGTCTTTCACATCACCGACCACATGATCCTTTTAACTGGAGATTCTGAGAAGTATATTCTAATCAAGCAATTTGCTTTAAAGCTCTCCCTCCCTTCCTTCCTTCCTCCCTCCCTCCCTCCCTCTCTCCCTCCCTCTCTCCCTTTCCCTCACTGCCATAGACAGACTTTCTGGTGTAAAGATCCCCTAACATTTGATACCTGGGGCAAAGGTGCCCCCCCCACCCTGGAATAAAATACACATTTTATCCATTATCTCCCAAAACAATGGGAGATCACTCTGACTCTATTTAGATGTCATGAACAAACCTGACTTTGTTCATGACATGTACAGACCTGGCTTATTGTTGGGCTTGGGTGCCAAGACTGAGAATGAAAGGCTTCAGTCTAATTCCAATTTATCATAGCATGCACATTAAGAAATTAAGGCTGCTTTGTTTTTTACCCCGTGACTGAGCGAGAAACAAACCTCCATTTGATAAGGTGCTTGCATTCACATGTCATGACAAGTTGAAATTAATTAAAGACCCTGGTCCTTCAGTTTTGGTGCTTCACAAAAGCAGGAGACATCTCAGGTAAGAGGGTAGAGGCAGGAAGTGGGCAACAAAATTCAAGTCCTGCTCAGTCAAGAAACTCTCTAAGGTGCACCACAGTTTTGTTGCAAGGATAAAATGGGCAATGAGACAACAATGTGTGTTGCCCAGAGCACCTAGGTGGAAGGATGGGATAAAATGTCTGCTTTCGGGGAAATAGTGAGGGTGCTTCTGGCTGTATCGCTGAATCATGGAATGTTCTTACTGCTTTCCTTGGGATGATGTCACTGTCCATACATTGGTGTGGAGAAGAGACAAAACTAGAAATCAGTGTTGCATGAGGCTTCCCTGTTCTAAGGAACAGAGAAATGGATGCTTCTAACATGGCAGTTTAATATTCCAAGGCATTCTTCATCACCTCTCATGGCATAATTTTTCTAATAGTTGCTCCGGACAGTTGGCCTTTATTCAACAAAATGCTTAAGCTAATCAGCTTCCTTATGAAATACAGGTATCTGCTGTTGTCATTTGCTGATCAACTGCTCCTTGCTTACCAAGCATACAGTTTTCCTGGATAGTATGAATAATGCAGCTAATACTTGTTAAATTATTTTGCAGATAAATGTCAAATATTTTAGATGTATGGCATTTTGATATAGAGTAGCAGGGCTATTTTTGGGCAGGAACGCACAGGAATGGAGTTCTGGCTGGCTTCAGAGTTGGCCACGCCCACTACAGCTAAAACGACTGTGCTCGTGGCTACAGAGGGAAGGCCTGGAGAGCAAACCCCCCCCGACTCCGAAGCAGGCAGGCCAGGCCCCCCCCCCTGGAAGGATCGGGGAGACATTTAAGGGCCAGCTTGCCAGGCATCCCGCAGCCGTGGGGCAACTGGGCAAGTCAAGGGAAGACATGGGGGTGTGGCCTAATATGCTAATGAACTGTGCTGTTGGGGTGTGTGGCCTATTATGCTAACGAGTTTCTGCTGTTGGGTGTGGCCTATTATGCTAATGAGCTCCTGCTGGGCTTTTTCTACAAAGAGCCCTGTAAGAGTAGTACTTTTGAATTCTAAGCCTTAATATAACCGGACTAAAACTTTAGAGCCTTGAAAAACTGTCATTAAATTCCGGAAATCATAGGTGGAATCAGACAAACTACTGCCTTGAAATTAATAGGGACTGTGCTGACTGAATTGTGACCCATGGTTTTGGGTTTCTCAAATAAGGAACAAATACAAAAGAGCACCAACTGTATCCATCTCTTACATTCCATTTTTATACTAATTGAAAAGTTTTCATTAAAATATTTTCATAAATGGTTAGATAAATTAGTATTTCAAACTTGCAGTTAGTGTACAATGAACTATTCTTAAGTTACGGATATACTCATATTTCTCATTTTACCTGAGCTACCAATGCTACATTGTTTACGTCATTGGAAAATAACAAGGGAAAAGATAAGATAATATTTATAATGTCCAAATGCACCAATTCAATGTGTAGTGTTAAGATGTAGAGTAAGCTGACTTAATATTCTTGCTAACTGCCATAATATGTTGGATCAATGTAAACAAATGCAAATGATGCCTGTTTCCATATGTTCTGTTTTTGTTTTACTGGAGTGTCTATTAAACAGTTAAAAATACAGCCTGTGATCTTGTCTCATTTCATATTGGGGGTGCGTGGATAGCATTATTAAATACAAAGGTGTCCTCTTCAAATACAAACGTGGCAATTTTTTTAAAATCTCTGTGTGTTATGGGATAACATCACATATTGTGTTGCTACATTAAGCCAGCTTGCATAAATAACTATATGAAACACACTAATATGAGGTGCAGCTGAAGCCTATTGATGACGTTTTTCATTCTCACAGCTCCTACGTCAGCAACATTGGGATATATTTAACTAGATCCATCCCTTTGGAATGTGTAACACATGAAAACTGCAGTTCAG